TTCTTCAGTAACGGAACATCTTATTAATAAGGGTTCCCACGGTCAAAAGGATACAACCAGTCCGTATTGAATTGATTTCGGACCATGGAATTAGGCCAGGACATAATGATAGGGCTTTAGAAGCTTATCTTATGACCGGGATCAGGACGGGGTCTTGCACGCGACCGGAGATTGTCTGATCGTATGAATTTGTTTATATCATTGGAAGAAATGCTAAAATCCCTCGTCCGCATAAATTCGTTTCAGGGACATGGGTAATGAATTGAAAATGACATGAAACTATATTGCTTTTCGGACTTTCTAAATGTTTGTATGATAAATTGAGTTTCTATTACACAAATTCAAATTCAAATTATAATATCGTTTAGGGAAAGAATGAAGCAGGGAAAGAAAAATAGTTCTTGAAAATAAAAAGAAGTTAGACTGCACAAATCAGTTGAAACTGTCAGTTCTTCCTACTAATTTTCACTAAAAGAGATTGCCCAGTCGTGTCCACTACAGCCAATCAGCTACAAAACTCTATAACAGCACCCCTTATCGAGTCAACTGTAGTCGACTGACTTGACCAGTGTCGTAAGAAGGTTCGGTTGAGCATGTTTTGTTCAGAGTAATCTGGAATTAAATTATTTTTGTCTGCGTCACAATCCGCTATACTTATATGTATCTACTCGAACTGGAACCATTGCTTCGCTTTAAAGATCACGCTTGGCGTCCTTCAAAGTTGTGTAACACAAACAATGGTGACTGTACCTTTAAAATTTGGCAATATTTACGGTATGCCAAAAATGAATTACACTGCGTTATACAGCTGTTTCGTCCTTCTAGAACTCATCGGTGATGCTAGGGCAAACCGATTTGAAATCAAAATTGTCTAAATTACTGTTAAAACAGAGGGGCAGGTGCGCATGTGTAAATGATAACCCTTAATGCTTAAACACTCGGCAGTTAGTAGACAATGTACGAATGCTCATATCAAATGTAGATACATGTATATAAAAAGTTCTGTACTAGTAATATGAAATAATCTAGAAAATGAAAAAAAAAAAACGATTCCGCGAGTAATCTTTCCAACAATTGAACTTAAAAATATATTTTATAGTTTTATTAAATAATGTCATCTTATCCGCTTTTGAAACAGATGGATACCTAGATACCAAGATCAAGCATAATCCATATATAGTAAAGTTTGTGTTTTAATCCATTCCTAACAAATTGTGAATGTCAAAAATGATGCATCAACTTTGAAAATAAAATGTGTCTGAGGGAGATATTGACAGTAAATGAAAAGAGGGAAAGGAAAAAATAAAGTTCCGAGTGTTGCAATATGGGCAACAGATCAATTTGTTTTTCAATGCCTCCCTTGCATATGACGCAAAAGACGCCCCCCCCCCCCCCCCCCCCCCCCCCCCCCCCCGATTCCGCAGGAGGTCCTGCATTACTTCCCTTTCAAAAAAATATATTTTTTTTGATAACGTTTAGAAAGATTCGCTCCGCCCCGAAACTGCAGGGTCCCGACCCTAGTCGCCTATCACGATTACCTTCGGTAAGATGTCCACCCCGAATCTTCAGGGCTTGTGACGAAGACCTCCCACTTCATGGAAGTGTGAATCTGTTAGAAGGGGTGTGCAGCAGACAGGGACGTTATCTACAAGACGGAAAACTGACAGGAAGATTAATATGTAAGATGGGTTGATGTTCACTAACGAATTGGGTTAAACCATTTAAAATAATTACCGCGGAATCCTTGTTTGGTCTATGTTTATGCAAACGAAACGCCTTCACATAATACAGTTTGCGTCCGAAATTATCCGTATTGACTACTGATCGTGATCAGACGGCGGCAAATGTTCCGATGATTCAACCAGCTTATACTTAGCGAGTCAATTAGGCACCAGCTGAGAAGTGTCCTTGTAAATATAAAGTCTAGCAACGTCAGAGCATTGACCTCGCGTAACCTCAGAGGCCAAAACTGTTGGCAATGACTTCAAGGTTTTTATCAAACGATAAAAGATGAGGAGACAGACAGGGACCGACCTAGTATATAAATATGTTATATAACAATGCTGTTGGCGTCCTACCGCCATCTTTATGATTATGTACCAGCCAGATGTCATAATGTTATCGAATATGGCTTCACACTGTACACTTAAATTTACGCTTGCTTGTTGTAGTTATATTTTTGGTTTAGGATGTAACTAGTTTTTACCAGTTTTTGTTGTTGAATACTCTCAATTATTTGATGCATATAGAGAGACGTACGTACGTATCAATAAAAAGGTTAATGGTAACTTTCCGATAAATCGATGATCTATTTCATTATTTAGTTTCATTTCTTAAATAATAGAAATGTAAATTTTCAAAAATGTCTTCAATTCTGCTACAGGCAATGATATATTTTACAGATATCGAAATTTGGATTTCTTCCAGGGCAATCGACAGTTTGCTAGTTTATCGTGATTTTTAATAACATTATTTAGTCGTTGACAGGAAAGAATATCCATGTGTTTCGTTTTATGACCTTTAAAAGCATTCGATAAAGCTTGACATACATGTTCAAACTTTACCAGTGTGTTTAAGGGGATCACTTCTTACTTATTGTTCTGGTTCACCAGTTGTTTTGTTTTTGTTAATAAAATTTTCTCTCTTAAATATGTATTTGTGGTTGTTTCCTCGGGATCTGTTATCGGTCCACTTATCTCATGTTGATATTAAGCAGGGATACATGTGTGTTCTAGGTCCTGTATTGTTTATACTTATATCTTGTTGGTTTTATGACATATTGACTTGACTGTTTGCCGTTGATTCGTCTCTTCGAGAGTAATTCTGCGGACTGAAATGTTATAAACTCTGTATGTTTGGTAGGTGCTTTTAATATTACGCATTATCAGAGGACTTGGTAGGTAGGGGTTGCCCAATCAACTGTCCTCTGATTATATGTGCTGAGGTGCTGCGATATGCTCTGCCTTGTTTATATTTGTGCTATATATGTGCTATATGCTTGATTTAACCTATTGATATATATATATATATATATATATATAAAGATCTCTCTCTCTCTCTCTCTCTCTCTCTCTCTCTCTCTCTCTCTCTCTCTCTCTCTCTCTGGCCAGGGGACTTGGTAGGTGGGGGATTCCCAATCACCTGTCCTCTGAGCTGAACTATTTTACTGTATTTAAAGACTGTACATAGGAAATCAGAATCTTAACGGACTAAATTGTATTTTAAATATATTTAAATGTTTGATTATTATTTAGATAATTGTAACTTAACCATTTTTCTTAACCACATTCCATTATCTTAATCAAAGTAATGCCATAGTGTAATGTTTTAATGCATATCTTATTATGGTTAAATGTGGTCTTATTTTGTCCGTGTGCTTTTGTATGAGCTTGTTTTTCTTCCTGTATGTTTGTATTATTTTATTTCAAATCTGTTGAGATTTTGTTCTTGTAGAAACGAACTTGAATTAAGAAGTTCAACGCTTTCAACGTTTGTCTGATCGGTGGTCTATGCAGTTCACTACATGTACCTCAACTCTGACTGGTTGGTGATTTTCTGGCTATATACAGCGACGTACAGTCTTTCACGTGACGTCATTTTCCCCTTTCGATTCTGTGTTAATGTACTTTAAAAAATCGTGACTTCGTTTAATAACCAGTTTTCATCAATCTTGACATCCTGCTTGAGAATTATATAGTGTTCCGTTGGTTATATTATTATCCGTGGATTGGTTATTGAAATACAATGTATCACTTTACCAGCATAAACGCTTTACTTTGACGTCATTCCCATATAGACACAATATTAAATTCTGCCGTTAAAATGTTTTGCCTATTAACCTACACGTATCATGATTAGAATTTTATAAACGGATAGTAATATCAACATTACCAGGAGAAGCGCTAGATAATTATCTTACTTTGTGCTGAGTTGCATCAATTTTTGACTAAAAATGATGACCGGGAAATTAATGTTCCAAGAGCATATTAATATAGAGACCAATTGGAAAATGACGTCACGTGAAAGACTTAAAGTGATAATTGGTTAACCACTTCGAGAACAAAATTTTCCAAAACGAAGATAGGCTATTTGTTTACACATACTCACTGTACATTCGAAAGTGTCTAAAATGACAGTTATATAACGGCAGGGCATCCATTACCTTTCCTTACTTTCTCCACAACTGTTTAACCATTTCATTCTAAACTGCAAAATGAATAAATTTTCATGTCTACATGTATTCCCTTTATTTCTCTTTATTTACTTAAAGGAATTTTATGTAATTACCCAAAACATTAAAATATACAAAATATTGTAATTGAATAGTACTGAGAACAACTCGACTTAGTGAAGTAAACAACAAACAATTTTTTGAGGGAATTTTCATACAATAAAACTAAAACATATAATTTGATAAACATGACACTTTTGATAACAGCACATGTCAAATGGAGTAATGGCGTATTGTAAGAGATCCTGATACAATTTGAATCAATCAAATTATCACTAACTTTATGATTGCATAAAAACACGCACACAGATATAGAATTCCTTATTCAATATTTAGTCTAAAATCTAAATTAAATTAGAATAAATTTAGCAACAAAATCTCATTAAATCGAATTATTTATAATGTTATTATCATTTGTTAGTAGTTGAGTGACTACGACAAACTAAACAGAAGATCTCCAACTCAGAAAGATACTGCATTGTGTAATATTAACGGAAAACGAAAGTATTAGAGAGTTCCGAGAATTGTAATTTTAGATTTTGTTACCTGAATGAAAGTACGGATTGTTCCATTAAGCCTATGTTTAGAGAGAAAAATATATATGTTGAGAGGTCAATACGTCGATAATATTGATATAAGAGTACATCAAAGTAGCAGAAACACAATGATACACGATCTCAATAATAAAATGTAATTAAAAACAATATTTCCGGATAGTATTTTCCGCTACTTGGTTTCACATTATTTATTATATTGAACGTTACAAATGGATAAGAATCGATAAGCGATAGAGTGGAAGCGAACGTACCGATTTCAATGAGATTATGGAAGATCGTTGTAAAGAACATGATGATGAATTGTTCCGATTCTTCTGTACGGACTGTAAACGTCTAATCTGTGACGTTTGTATCGACGAGGAACACAGTAAACATGCGTTCTGCAGCATTAGACGCGTGGCAGAGTCGAAACGGGACGACTTGTTGACACAGCTAGGGAGCGACAGACAGACACACATAGACCGTCTCCATCAGTATTCGGAAAAGATACAGCAGACGAAAGACAATTTTTCAAGTCAGACTGAAGGCCTGGTCGAAAACATAGACGCGAAAGCCGAATACTTAATGGACAGAATTCACAAAGTTAGAGATAAGGTTGTTTCCCTTGTCCTTCATTATCAACAGCAGTGTGAGGAGCCCTTTACAGATGCCCAGAGGAAAATTGATGAATGTTTGTCGCTTATCAATCATTATTCAGAAATGCTGACTGATATAGAAGAGAAGACAGACAGAGAAATTGTCATTATGCAAACAAGATTGGACACAAAACTAACCTCTGTTCCTGACCCAGATGAAATACCTTCAGGACCACTGATGACATTTGTTGAAAATAATAACGAAAGTTTGAGTGACAGAAATATTGAATCACTGTTTGGCAGCTTCACACTCAACAGCTTGAGGAACGAAGAAAACTATTGGCTAACTATGACTGAAAAGAAAGATGCAGAGACAAACACGGATCCTGTAGACATAAGACCTACAGATAATGAGGAGAATGGTGTCGGTGCTGAAGAAGATCAAGAAGAAAGCAGCAATGGCAAAAATGAAACTGAGGATTATACAACAGTCCCTATCATGGATGAATATCAAGACATCTCTCTCGATTTTGAACTGGCGGGCCAAGGATCTATAAATAAAATCCTGCCATGTTTTAACTCTAAGTCTGCCTACATCCTGACATCCAAGAGCATGAAGTTTGTCAATGCTTTGACAGGTGATTTAGACATGACCCCAGGGAAGATGCATAAGCGTGAAGCCCATCAAACTTTGATGTCCAATGTTGCAGATGTAAGCATGACCAAAGATGGTCATGTTGTATTTATAGAGGAAAAGCGAGCATGTGTGAAAAGATTAACCAGCTCAGACACGGTTGTTGTTTTGGCTGAATTCCCCAAAGATTCCAAAGTACATTGCATCAATGTGTCAAATGATAACCATATTATAGTGTGTCACTCGAAGGTCCAAGAGGGCCGACAAAGAACTTGCATTACTCAGTTGGACGAGCATGGCGTTCAACTAAAGTCTGTTGTCCTTGGGATGTCTTACCGTTTCCCGTACAGATTTTGTAAAAATACCAATGGAGACATGCCTTTCCTTGACCTTGAGGGCCCAGGCATATCGAAAGGATGTGTTAGAATTGTGAACTCTGATCTCAAACATGTAGCAACATATGCTGGTGCTATAGGACCAATACCTTCGGACACATTTGAACCGCGGGGAATATGCTGTGATGTAGATAGTCATATCATTGTTACAGATTGTCGGAACCATGCTGTTCACCTCCTCAATTCAATGGGAAAGTACATGCGACTGATCCTTACACACAAAGATGGCATCCGACACCCTGTGTCTGTGAACCTTGACAGAAATGGTCTTCTTTGGATTGGCTGTCTCTATGGAAAAGTCTATGTGAGGAAATACAAGGATTTGTTTTTGTAGAGTTCTACAATATATCTAGCCTGGCCATGGTTTACATTGCCAAAAAAACACCCTGATGATCCATTGGTTTATAAATACCCAGTCTTTAATTTTAAGTAAAAATTATTTTGTGCATTTAAGGCTGTTCCATCTTTCTTGTCTCCAAAGAATTGGTTTATTTTACTAATTTATTATTGGGGGGAAAAGAACAAAGAAGTGATGGATAATTAACATAATATGAAAAATTTCAAAAATATGATAAAAAATATTAATACCAGGTCGATAACGCTACATTTTCTGAATTATTAAGACAAGTATTATCAGTATGTAGCTCGTGTCCCTTTACCAAAAAACTATAAAATCTGAATAAAATATTTTTTAGTCTACAGGTACATTTACCTTGCATGACATGAACATCCATATGAAAGAAAATTGATAATACTATGAAGATTTTTATGGAAGAAAAAAATATATATAGATATAGAGCAAACAGTTTTTTGATAAATTTTAAGCTACAAGAAGACAAGTCAGGTTTTTATATTTAAGAGAACTAGTCTGTAGCAAGATTTAAAAAAACAACAACATTGAATTAGCCCGGGGTGTCGGGCAAATGAAATTATACACCCTAAAGAAGTTTGATTTAAAATAATGTAAATGTACTGGTGTAGCACCAAGACAGCTTAATTGCAAAAATTAATTAGTACATAGTTCATATATACATAGATTAATAAATTCAAAGTGTTTTCATCAATCTTTTTGACTGGTAGTTATCAAATGGCAGTTGCCTCCCTTGTCACTTCTGACCATATGGCACAGCTGTTGCACAGTCATTTATAAATGCTAAGACCCTATTGCAGGTCAAGAAAAGGATGTATAGATCTAGATTTAATTTGTTTTATTGACATGCATATTTGGTTGCGTATTTTTTTTCTTTCTGAATGTGACAGATGGTTTCAATCTGGTCTAGTTCTTTATTCGATACACTGAGAAAGAGAAACTTGAACCTTTTTTTAGAAACTACTACCGGAGTATGAATAAAAGGACTATTTTGGTACGTCTTTTCTCCAAGGAAACTGCATAATGACATGATTATAATCTCAGTATAGTTTTCCTCTATTTCATGTATTGAGTAACTCAAAAAGATTACAGTAAAAAGCAACTTCGCTTCAACCATTAAGATTTCAACAAATTTACGAAAAAATGTGATTACAATGAAATCTTCTGATTTGGCAAAGGTCATTTTGCCAAAGTTGAAGTTCACTTGGCCAGACCATGGGTTCTATCATGCAGACTACCAGGCCAGTGGGTTAAATTTTGGGTTCACTGGGCTAGATCAGGGTTTCCCTTGTCCTGGCAAGGAGTTCACAGGGGCAGATCAGGGGTTCACTGGACTAGATTTGAAGTTCATTGAACCAGGCTTAGGAATTGATTACTTGGCCAGGCTTTGGGTTCATATAACTAGACAAAGGATTCAACAGGCGATAGTTATTAGCAAGGGGCTCACTAGACCAGACTAGAGGTTCACAATACCAGGTTAGGGGTTCATGGGACCAGACTAGGGGTTCACAAGGCCAGGTTAGGGGCTCACTAGACCAGACTAAGGGTTCATAAGGCCAGGTTAGGGGCTCACTAGACCAGACTAGAGGTTCACAAGACCAGGTTAGGGGTTCATGGGGCCAGACTAGGGGTTCACAAGGCCAGGTTAGGGTCTCACTAGATCAGACTAAGGGTTCACAAGGCCAGGTTAGGGGCTCACTAGACCAGACTAGAGGTTCACAAGACCAGGTTAGGGGTTCATGGGGCCAGACTAGGGGTTCACAAGGCCAGGTTAGGGGCTCACTAGATCAGACTAGGGTTTCACAAGGCCAGGTTAGGGGTTGGTTGGACCAGACTAGGGGTTCAAAAGGCTAGGTTAGGGGTTGGCTGGACCAGACTAGGGGTTCAAAAGGCCAGGTTAGGGGTTGATGGGATCAGACTAGGGGTTAACAAGGCCAAGTTAGGTGCTGACTAGACCAGACTAGGGGTTTACAGGGCCAGGTTAGGGGTTGTTGGGACCAGACTAGGGGTTTAAAAGGCCAGGTTAGCTAGGGGTGGATTGGACCAGACTAGGGGTTCACAAGACCAGGTTAGGGGTTCATGGGACCAGACTAGGGATTCACAAGGCCAGACTAGGGGTTCACAAGACCAGGTTAGGGGTTGGTTGGACCAGACTAGGGGTTCACAAGACCAGGTTAGGGGTTCATGGGACCAGACTAGGGATTCACAAGGCCAGATCAGAGGTTCACTGGACCAGATTTGGAGTTCTTCTTCTTTTAATGTGCAGGGCTCCAAATGGGGCATTGCATATTAAAAATAAAAATAAAGAAAGAAGAACTCCAAATATGGCCCAGTGAACCCCTGAACTTGCCTTCAATTGACCATATTTGGGGTTTGATAACTTTTCAAGTTCAGGGGTTCACACACCAAGATTAAGGGGTTATATGACTAGACTAGAGGTTCACAAGGCCGGATTAGGAGTTCATAGGACAGCACTCAGACTCGGGAGTTCATTCAGCCTGGAGATAACTTGGCAAGATTTGGAGTTTCTCTAGGGGTTCACAATGCCAGATCAGGGGTAGATGGGATCAAACTAATGGTTCACTGAAGTTCAGTACATATTCATTATTGTTTACACACTAAATCATTTATATCATATAGAACTGTATGAAATAATATATTTCAGGGGTGAAGGAGTTAACTAATTGTTGTAAAATAAATAAAGTTTATCTTAAGACATAACACTATCACTAAGCTGTAAGCTCTTATTAGTGTTACAGGCCCCATTTGCCTTTTATGCATAAAGGAAGATGCATGTAGTTTCCTAAGTGAGATACCTTTATAATATGGTTATAAATACATGTTACACTGTAGGCATTCACAGTTGTTTACTAGTCTAGTGAAATGTTGAGGTACAATGTATCTACTTTGTAATGATAAATCATTCCAATTAGGCCAAGCAAAAATACTTTGTGCTTATGGTACCCTACAAGTTTTAGTGTCAAATTTTTTTCGTCAATTTTCAAAGAAGCAGAGCTGTTAAAACCAAGATCACTCTATAAACCATATAAAATTGTTTTTATTTTAAAGAAAACATTTTACCTTCCTACCTACCCAATATTTTTCAGACATGTTACAGGCAATGTACGTTTTTTGTTTGTTTGGCCTTATACATGGTCTCTCACAAGCCACCAAATAATCAAAATGTGCATGTAAGTTTTGCATTACAAAGTGCAGCTAACCAGGGAACAAATGGATACACACATAATCAGAAACAATGCATTACCACATCATTGGTGGTTACTTCCTTTCTATTTATTTTTCATTTTATGCTCTTTGTCAAATTTTATTTGCTATGTTTAAAATATAAACATACTTTTTACAATTTGTGTATATATATGTCATAATGTGATAACATGCTAATTTTTTAAAAAGGTGGCAAATGCTAGTTTAATTTTAATTTTACTACCATGACAATCAGTCTTATTATTTAATTAAACAGTGGTTATGTTATATCTTATTTATGACAATTGACACTTTTTCCTCACATTGTCTAACCATATATGGATACTATAGTTTAACAGTGTAATCGGTTCCTAACTATAGAAGGACCATGTATGCATCTACATGTTTTGTGGTGTTGGTAATTGTAACATTATGTTTATGTCTTGTTGACGTTACATCATCCTCGATATCCAGGGGTTACGCTCACATTCGCTCTCTACACCCCTGGAATATGTCATAGCAAAATTAGAGGCATGAAGATAGCTGTTTGATTGGTCTCAGGTAGGAAAACTGACCAATCGCTAGGCTGATACCTGTCCTTTGAAGATTACAAAGGAGAGACGACCGACTTCAAAGCCTGTCAATTTTAACTGTTATGTGACTGCAAGATTCTTTTGATGAATTTAAGAGGATCAAACTAGTCTTCTCGTCTCATCAACAAGGTGGTGCACACTGAACCTTCAATTTTGCTATGACATATTCCAGGGGGTGTAGAGAGCGAAAGTGAGCGTAACCCCTGGATATCGAGGATGATGTTGCATGGACGTACCGTTTAGCTGAGTTAATAGATTTGTGCAGTTTTATGTGATGTTATTTGTGCCAATTCTTCGCCTTAGTAGTGACATGTACATGGGTCATGTGCATTTCTGGTTTCATGCTTTCGGAGGAGTAATTGTTTAGGGCGATTTTATTAAAAATGTCTGCCACCCGTCACAACTTGTTGTATCACAGAACATGCATTTATATATTGTTGCTACAGAGATTCAGGTAGAGAGTTCCATCAATCCCTTTTTATACTGTATTCAGGCCTTTAAAAAAGTTATTTTCCTGTAAAATAATTTTTCAGTGGTCCTACAAAAGATAATTTTATGTTATGAACCTTTTTAGATTAATATTGATCCCAGTAATGTTGCTGCTGTACCTGCTAAATGACCCACATCTTGAGGGAAGTCTCCCAAAATTAATCTATCACCCGCCACCATCTTGCTGTACTAACATTACAGGTAGCACTGTGTAAAATTTCCCTGTCATATTGTCAAGAGGTGCTGTAATTATATCATTAAATCCCTGTGGCCGAGCCAAGATGTTGTTTGAAAAAGGAAATTAAAAAAAAATGTATTTCTAATGCATATAACTCCTAGAGTTAATGGGCAAGTCAGAAAAATGCCAAAGTAATAGGAACTCGACCTCCCCAGGCATACACCATAGAGTGATTGGACTCTCTCCTTAAGTCTAGTGCTGAAGCAAAATTGAGATATATCTGCTTTACTTTTGTTAAACAGTGCCATATGTGTTCAAAAATCTGTGCTTTAGAACTCTAGACTGGACATTGCTTCTTGTTCAAGAAATTGCCATCATCATATATTTTAATGTGTTATATGACAGTATAGTAGTTATGCATAGAATACAAGTTCAACGAATATGAAGTTGGTACATTAAGATTGTGACATCATAGAAAAATGAACCATTAATTAATAATAATAATTTGAGGTTCTTATATACCGCTTTATCACAACCTAGTTCGTTGGTCGTCTCAAAGCGGTTCGCAAACTATTATCCGTGGTTATAGGGCCTTTGCAACCAGCCAATATCTTTCTCAACTCCCTGAGGAGCAAACAGCCGGAGCTGCCATTTGAAACTAATATGATGATTGGCCAGTTAAAACCGACTCGGACTGGTGCTAGTTCTGCAATATAAATTCTTAACTGGTTGTGCTATATGAACCGTTTCTTTAATACATACACACAAAACCGAAGAACATGTTTAGAAATATTAACAGTGAACTAACTTTTTCAATAAGATTCGTCAGTTTGGAAGTATGTAACATTGAAGTTTTACTTTCTACACAAGTAATGTACGTATTAAATGTACGTATTAAATGTGTCGGAACGTTTCAACACCGACTGGTCCCTTTCAAGACCTACTAATTACTTCGTCAAGCAGTCTTAGCTTATAAGTGTATTAACTTGTTATGACACAAATGACCATTATTATAATTTTACGAAGATTGTCCATCCTGGTTATGTTGCAAGATAGTGATTTTGTTAATGACATAAACATATCAATTATTGACCACCATTAATGTACAGCATTTATCATTATATGACATCATTAGCTTGGAGAAGGATCACTGCATGAAAGTGTGGTTGCATTTTCAGCACTCCAGTTTGACTGGAGTAATTCATTGCATGCATTACTAAGTTATGTTTTTTAAGGATGTTCTTGCATATTGTACGTCACAATGTATTACATTGTAACAATTTAAGATTGATATTACTTCTTTGTAAATGTAATATTTTTAAATTCACTTAACTCACTCACCCCTGAAACTTCATAATGAACTATTCCAACCTTTGAATTGGAAGAGTTCAAATGTGTCTTTAGGGGTGAATGAGTTAAAAGATTTATTGTGTATATTAACACATTGTAATTGTATTTTGTTTGAACTGTACTGAAGTACAGTTATACTTTACATGATTATTACATTGTATCTGTAATATTCAATATTGTTCAATACTGTATTACACTGTAACAAATTACTGTAGACATCATTAGATAAACTAAATTGCATGTATTTGTACTTTACATCCACAACATAATACAGTATAACAATGTTTTTATTGCATTGATACTATGAAAGAAATTGGCACCAAGACAAATTTCATACACATGTGACTATTATTACTTAATATGCACAAAGTTATAATGTTTTAAACTTTTATCCTCACCTGGTTTAAAAATCCAAACTGAGCTGTTGCCATGGCCTGACGTATGACGTCCACCATTCTTCTATTGTCAACTTTAAGTCCAGAACGACTGAAAGAATTTTGACCAAATTAGTTATATACAGCATCCCTGGGCCAAGGGAACTAAGACTGAATGGTGTGCCCTCCCCCTTCCCCAATGTACAAGGTTAGCCCCAAATGTGTTAGATGTTTGGAAAGCTTTCCCTTAAGTATGAGTAAAGGGATTCAATACATGTACACTGTACTGTATAATAAGAAGAGGGTTGGGCCGAATAGGAAAATTAGGAACCAAGACACTTTCGATTCAAGTTCGGCGTCAGTTTTAACCCTGCTTAGGACAATTTGTTACTTTATGACCCTGACCAAGTATTAGTATTTTTCAGATGTGATTCAAAATCCAGGATGGCTCCACTTGCTTTTGATTTGCAGAGACATTTTGAACTTCTTATACAAATTCAATATCCTATAGCTGATTTTTGCGAAATATTTTCAGGAACACTCTTTTCATGGTCCACACTAAAAATTTGTATTTTTTGGTAAGTTCCAAATGGCTTTCTTATTTTCTGATTGTTTGATACATTTTCAACTAATCATTCAGGTCCACTTTGTTGAATTTAACCACACTTGATACACATGTTCCTTTCAATGCCATGTCTAGGTGTTGTAACGACTCAATAAGAAATCTAATTTGCCATTCATTGATTCAAACTATCAGAAACTTTTTTAACTTATCAACTAATAAATAGAGGTGAGCGATACAGGCCCGGTGAGCGCCTTTTTAGTTAAATTTTAATCTTTTGTTAGTTGTTTAATGTTCAAATTACTTGCAAAATTACTGTTGCTATTTATTTTTGTTGCATTTACGAATAAAATATTCCAGACACAAAGGGAGAGTGTTGAATATGTATATATATTGACAAACATTCTCTTTACATACATGGTAATATATACTTTGCCAATACCTATTAGGTTATCTGGATAAGTGAGCATTCTTACTTTTCATAGTTACTTTTTCTCAGGATAGTGATCTTTGATTTCAATTGCTAAAGGAAACACTGGCATACAATGGAAACTTCTAATAGAGATCGTTGAAGAGAGACTTATAAAATATAATTATAGACAGATGGCTGCTTATATGATAAAAACTATAACAGGTGGTAACTACATGTAGGGAAAGTTAGTTTCTGCAGCAGGTTTCATTGTGTGTAAATTTACACCATTCAGGGAAAATGTATATTTTGAACCATATGAACAAACTTATCTTCAGTGTTCATTTTCTTGCCCTTTAACAAACTTAAAAGTCTTTTTTTTTTATGTTTGCAAATATGGGAGACGTGATTTAAACCTTTTTTTTCTGACAAATTGAATGCAGTTTGGAAAGGTGTTAAATGCTATTGTATTTTTAGATAAAGATGTACGTTTATAAAGAAGTTAACTACTAGTCATATGCCGCCTGGCTAATATCTCCCTATGTGTGTATGCCTGCGTGAGTGCTGGAGGTGTATTGTGTTCTGTTTGTAGTGGGACCGTGCTTCCAACGGTATCATTTATAGTGCCACCTCACCTGAATGTAATAGAACAGATACTGCAACATCCACCCCAGACCATTTTATACTCCACCTGGGTTGTTGGAGTTGTGTGGACAGGAGAAAAATACTTTCACTGAATATTCAATGTGCAAGACGACTTCGGGGATCGAACCCCGGCCGCCTGTTTGGAAGGCCGGAGTGTTAACCACTCGACCAACCCGCCCATTTTGATGCCGTGCTTGTTTAACTCAAGTATGGTAAAACTGGAAAGATGTAGGTTTGGTAAAGTAAAGGTGCGAGGTCGACACCTGCAGTTTTGTTAGTGTTGTTGTCTTTATATTTCTATTTCCAAATATTAACAAATATATGAAAAATACTTAAACAAATACTCACAGCAGTAACAATAATAACAATATACTTTATGTAGAACGGAACGAAAAGGGAAAATGTGCCTATACAGACCTTTATTACATTACAAATTAATTTGTTTTTGACTACCACTCATTATTGGTACTGAAGCTATTTTTTTATGTAAACCGTTGCAAAATAAATTCCAGCTACACGGCTAATTTCAAGGACATGTATTTAAACATTCATGTACCTCGATATTTCATCATCAAAACAACAGTTCCCCAATCTCTGACGCGACATCTCTGTTGTAGCCATTTGAAAAATAACTAATATAAGGACAATATATCATTTCAACGTGATTCATTCTCAGAATCATGAATCTTAAAGATTTTTCATATCACTGACCACCCGTCCGGAAGTATTTCATAAATCGTATGATGTAATACACTTCAATGAGAGGCATTGACTCATTGGCTGCTTGTAAAAGAGCTATGTTGCGTAATAAATATAATTGTATGAAAACTCCCTCTAGCTACAATGTAGGAAGCTTAAAGACAGCAAAGAAATAATGAAGAAAAAAAACAGTCTGTAAGGCAATATTTTACTTTTATGAACGATGTA